TAACCATATGATCTGGGACCTGCAGTCCTGGAGTGAAAGTGAAAAACGTGTCCACGTAAAAACATGTACACAACTGTTCAGAGCAGCTTTACTCATAGAAACCAAAACTAGAATCGACCAAAATGTCCTCTAGTAGAGGAATGGCTAACTGTGCTCTATCCATGCAGTGGACTACTACTCAGCCATGAAAGGGAATGAACAACTGACCCAACTTGCAATAACTGGGGAGGATCTCAAAGGCATTATGCTGAGTGGAAAAAAAAAACAAAAAAACAATCTCAACCTGTCACATACTGTGTGATTCCATTTATCATTTTTGAAATGACAAAATAGAGATGCAAACAAATTAGTGGTCATCAGGAGTTCGGGATGGTGGGGGGCCAGGGAGGAGTGTCTGTGACTATAAAGGGGTAGTACAAGGGACATCTTTGCGGTGATGGAATAGTCTATCTTGGCTGTCTCAGTTATGTGGGAAAATCACATAGAACTATACATCCATGTTGTACCAATGCCAGTGTCCTGGTTCTGGTATTGTACATTATGTAAGAACCATTGAGGGAAACTGGGTAAAGAGTATATAGGGCCTCTCTACATTTTCTAACTTCCTGTGAATCTGTAATTATTTCAAAATAAAAATTTAAAAAGATAGGCCAAATTTGGCATGGAGGCTGTAGTTTGCTGACTGCATCTTTAGAGCAACAGTCATAAATAAAATGCTGTCTTTGTGCATTATGAGCTGTCAGTAATGCTGCAACTTGGGAACCATTAATGATATCTTCAAGCAGTTGACTTGTTTCAAGGGCTTTAAGCAAAGCTACTGAAACTACCAACATTTGTCCTTGACAGTAATGTCAAGTATATGCCACAGCACTTTTGCTATTGACATTCTTTGAGCCACTGAGTGCCAAGTGGCATACTGATATTAAAAACAACAAAGCTTGGGCATCTGGGTGGCTTAGTTGTTTAAGCATTTGACTCTTGATTTCAGTTCAGGTCATAATCTTGAAGTTGTGAGATCAAGCCCTGCCTGGGGCTTCATGCTGATAGCATCGAATCTGCTTGGGATTTACTCTCTTCCTCTCTGCTCCTCCCCACCCCACCCCCACTCCTGCTTCTCTCTCTCTCTCTCTCTCTCTCTCTCACACACACACACAATAAAGAAATTAAAAAAAAAAAAGAATAAAGTTAACTGTACAACAGTCTTTAACATGAATAGTTTCAGCAAGGTCCACTTGTATGTAGATAGATACATGTGCTCATCAAACCACACCTAGAGCTAGAGGAGGAACTCATTTGGGAGAAAAAGTTCAAATTACAGATAGCCCCACATTTGTGGGCATTATAGAAAATATGACCTGAGTTCTTCTATGGATTCTCTTCTCTCTTTTCCTGTATTCCATTGCCCTGTTGAGTACATCCTGAGTTGATTTACAAATGTGTCACACATTTGAGACCACTCCTGACAGGGTTTCAAACTGGGGACTCTTCTCAAAAGACAAATTTCTAATACTGTGAATAAATTAATCTGATTGGACAGACTGATGCCAAGAGGTATGGCTTCCTCAGAGTCCTTACTAAATGGAGAAGTCAAAAGTTAATCATTTTTTAAAAATTGTCATAAATGTATTAGAATTTCTTTTAGTCAAGTCACCACTATGTAATGACATACACAGTAGACTCACACAATAGACTGTGTGTGGTTGGGAACATTGCCAAAACAACAGAAATACCTAATGTGGTGCTGGGACAGCAGAAACTTACCGAAATTGGCCATCATGTCCTGTTACATGCAGCGTTTTCTTGTTGCCAGGAGAGTATGCAAAACCTCGACCTTCCCAGCTGAATTTTCTTCTTTTATGGAATTAATTCACCATGACTTGGGTACCAAAGCCTTTGGCAGGTGTACACATGGCAATGTTTGTTAATGTATCCAGACCCAGAAGGGTTAGAGGGTCCTCCCAGATTTTGTGCTGGGTGGCTTTGAAAAGTCCCTTTCTCTTCTACTTGCTCATGTTTCGGAGGTTACGCTCATCTCCAGGACTTTGCCAGTGGTAGTAAGAGATTATAAACACATAAGAAACTCTACTTAAGTAGTGGAGATAGGGCTAATCTGAAACAATAGGTAACCAAAAAGTCAGGAGTATATGACTATAGTGCTTGTACTTAAATTCAAATGTCTTACTTGAGACCTGTAAATTCATTTGTGAGACAAATGTCTGACCCCAACAGAAAACAGAGGTGGGATTGTTTTGCCTGGTCAGGTTCACTTCAATTCCATGTTAGCCTACTTTATGATTAACTGTGGACCTCTCAAGAACCAAGACTAACCTCCTCAGTGAATGGAATCAAACTTCCTTCCCCAGTAAGCTTTTTATTCCTCCAGCATTGATGTTTCAATCAGATTCTACTCGTCCAATTTGTAATACCATAGCATCAAAAACAGACTGTACAGACATTTGCCTAAATCTAAATCTCTGGCCAATTGATCCATTTCAGATTGATAAGAGATTTATGCTATCATGATCTGTAGGCATCACAGAATTATAATCCACTGTTGTTTGAAAGTTTCCCAAACTGGAACTCTTTGGGATGTCAATTTTGGCAAATTCATTTGCCTTTTTTGCAGCCTTATTTTCTCTAATGTTTTCGATAGAGGAGGAAGGAGTTCTCCCAGCTCTCTCTGGCTGACTCCCAACGCAGAGCCCCTGACAGCCAGATCAAACCTCTTCCGTTCTTCTCTAAGCCCTGATTCCCCAGCATGGGCTCTGCAGGCCCTGCTTCCTCTGCTCCACAGCTCCCCCCTCCATCTCAAAAGAGGCTGCCACAGGGAAATGTTCCAGTCCTTCTCTCCGGTTTTGGAAAAAGGGGTCCTGGGCTGTCCAAAGCCATCCTTCCTCATATTCCTTACTTAATCTTGATTTTTTTCCCCATCTCTAGTACCTTCAGTTCCTTCTGCCTTCAGACATGCCCCAAATTTCCCATCCTGGAAAGTAAAAAACTGAAAAGTAAACAAATGTACAACCTTCTCTCCTTCCAGAGGTGAAGCAACCAGACTTCTCTCACCATCTGGCCTTCCCTTCCACAACCTCCATTTGTTGCCTCCGTGAAGTCTGGACTCTCCCAGATCAGCGATCCAGTCGTCGTCAGATCCGTTGGGCTTGCTCTTGCTTTTTTTGTGCCTTGACCTCTGGGCTTAGGTTAAATGAAACAACGTGTGTTCTCAAGGACCTAGGTCAACATAACCCTACATGAAGGATAGCTACACATCATTAACACCTTCCTGAAAGGCTTTGCTTTCACTGCTCTGTTTTTGTTTTCCACATTCTTTTTCTTCCTTCCGGCTCCTAATTATGGCATCTCCAGAACCTGGTCTTTGGACTCCCCTATTTATGTCATTCCTGACTATTCCATCTGTTCTTCCAGCCTCAGTTCTCACCTGTGATGGCCCCCAATGACCTCTAGCTCCAAACTTCAGCTCCCGAAACTCTGCCAGATTAACATTTCTTCTCTTTCCAAATATTCAAAATATCCAAACCTCCTTTTATCGCCATCACCTCACAACTCCCCAAGCCGTTTCTTTCTTAAGATTAAGGGCTTTATTTTAGTAAGTGACATTCACCCACAAATAAAATCTGCCCTGAAGAGTCATCCACAACTTCCGTCAACCCTTTTGGCTATTATCATGATCACATATGATGGACTCATTCTACCCCATATATCAACTGTCCTTTGTGCCTTCCTGGTGTCTTGCATTAGCTCTCATACAGCCTTCCTCTCTAACACCTCCCTTCTCTACTCTAACCCACCCACCATAATGCAGACTAATTCTCCTAAAGCAGTGCCTTCACCATGATACTGCAATCCAAATCTTATGCCTCAATCTTATGATTGAGGTCCTCAATCATCTGGCATAACCATCTCTCTACATAAATCCTTCTTTTCAGCTCCCTCCCTGAGCCACCGGAAGCACACCAGGTGCGGGCCTGCTTCGCGCCTTTGCTCGTCCTGCAGATGTGACTTACATGCGTCCTGCTGGGGCGAGCACCAGAGACCGACTGAAATTAGAAACAAGTGAGGCAAGTATGCAGCCACGGGTTCATCTGGATGGCTCTGAAAGTGTGAACTTTTACATCTCATTGAAAACTTTCTCATCAAGCATCTGATACCAACATGGTGTGAGACTCCAGGAGGAATATAAAGATCTGTCTAATCTATGACCTTCAGGAACATAATCAAACCAGTTATATAAGATACATATAAATAAATAAGTCGTGGAAAAGGCTATGAGACTTCTTATTGCAGTGGGTGTGGAGTTTCAGTTTTGCAAGATTGGACATTTTGTTGGAGATGGGCTGCATGATACTGTGAATGTACTTAACACTACTGAACCGTACAAGTAAAGAATAGTTAACATGGTAAAATTTTGTTATGTGTATTTTATCACAATTAAGATTTTTTAGTTGTTCCAGACCATCAGTGGAGATGCTTGCTAAGTGAAGTCCAAGTACAGACGAGACATTGACAATATAGCAAATATAGAAAAATCCTGAGTCCTTTCCGCACATTAACTCTGTTAATTCCCTCTAACCCCTACTAGACAGATTATTCTCTCCAGTCTGACTCTGGAATACAGGGAAAAGGCAGAATTCTTTAGTTTACCTTACTAAAAACAAAACAAAAAAAGTCAGATGCCAAACTATTCAGGAATGTCCAAGAGAAGAGAATGGGTAATCAAATTTATTCATGTAGAGAGATGTTGTTTACTGCTTGAAATACTGCCTGGGAAACTTCAACACTGTAATGGGTATCTTGCAAATGTTTGTAAGTAATTTTGATACTCATCTTTTGAATTTATAAAAATTAGAAATGTCCCCCAGAAAGTTTTGCAGTGTGACAGTGGAACCAAGAATCTCACAGTTACAGCTACCATCTATTGAATGCTTGGTTTCATTTGACAAAAAGTCAAATATATATCTTTAATATATATTTGTTAATAAATATATATTTGTTAATAAAAGGCGTATGAAGTGGTAACCTCCTCATGTCTGAGCCCGGCAACACTTCAGAGGCGTGCCTCCTTCCCTTCTACCAACACAAACCAGTCTCGGCCACAGGACTACCGTGCCAGTCCAGTCAGTTGCAAAATAAATAAGAAAAGGTTGATTATGTCCAAGTAGATGTTCAGGGCAGCAAAAATATATTCCTCGGGGTGCAGGTCAGAGTGATGGTGGCGCCCTCCCACCATGAGCTGCACATCCATCACCAAGTACTTAAAGAAAAGAAAGAAGAATTAGCTACTGAAATGGTATATTTCTATCAAATAAGTATCCTAAATTATCTGCAGAAAATATTTTAGTATCAGTAAAATATATTGCAGAAAGTCAATTTGTGGCTAGGTTAGGTTATTTTTACAGCCTCAACCATTCACTCTGTCCCCAAGTTTGTACTCTATCATTACAGCAAATGCTTCATCCTCCTGAAGCTAGCAGGATCAAATCTGTGAGCCGCCTTTTGCTTTCCAAACCCAGAAACCTTTGTGCCTTTAGTCAATGAGGTGGGACAATTTGACACAGAGATAAACTACCCACTGCCCTGTATTTGTGATTTTCCCACATGTTCTTGTTGAACCAAGAATGAAAATAAAGATGGTTCCTGACATTAAGATTGATACATCAGCAAAATTCTTGGAATTTTGGATGATAGCATTTTTCCAACCTTGACATTGGAATGGCTTTATGATGATGTTAGTATTTCTAAAATATAGAATGAGGGGAAGGTAGGATTTGTATATAGTTAAATATTTCCCCCAAATAAAAAGTGTAGCTCAGCTGCAGTAGGTAGAATGATGAGGTCCTAAAACAGCAGGAAAAGAGCCAGAGAGCTCTCTCACCCTTGTGTTTGTGGCCAGATGAGCAGCCCTGGGCAGCATGAGGACTTCAGAGGAGGAGAATAAAACCAGCAGCCCCTTCCTTCTTTATATCCAGACTCAGACTAAGAGTCTTATGCTGTGAGGCAGAGCCGCAGAGCCCTGTCAAACAGATCGACTCTGGCATTACAGAGAATTAATTCTTGGCGTCTTAAAGATTCTTTAAAATAACTAATTTAGAACAATATCTACTTCAGTGAGACCCATCCCAAGTAATTCAGGTATCTGTTCCCCCCAGGTCCTGGTTCCCACTCAGGCTTGGAAGAATAAGGAGGAAGGGAGAGAAGAGCAAGAGGAAAGGAAGTGGGCACCTCCTGGGTAGCTTTATGCCAGTTCATTATGGACATCATCTCCTGTGATGTGTAACCAACCCAGTGGAGGCAGGTGAGATTAACTGAGCCTCCAAAGGAAGATCACACTGTGGTGAGTGGCAGAGAAGGAAGCCAGCCCCACGGCTGGGCAGGATGCCAAAGCAGGTGCCTCACTTGGACCACTGAGTCCCTTCTCCCTGCTTCTCCTCCCCTCTCCTGATGACTGACTATAGCAACTTTGGGGAGAAAATAAACTAGGATGACCAATCATTCCAGTTTGTCCAGGACTTTAATGTATCCTTGGAAATCTCTCAGTCCCTGGCAGACCAGGACAGTTGGTCATCCTAAAAAGCAGGCTGCCCAACAGCCTTCATTTATCACCTTGGGGTCCTGACTTCTACAGAGAGGTGCTTTTCTCTCTTCATCCCCTCCAAGAACTCCTGACTTTATCATATTTCTTCTCATAAAAGGGATAATAACTTCTAATCATTTCAGAGACATGCCTTAGTGGTTAGGAGTACACCTCCCAGGTGAAATTATGTTTTTGAAGTCAGACAAGAAAGCGAGAGTGAGATGAGTTGGGATCCACCTGTCTCCCCCCTCTCCCCCCAGAGAATGGGGCTCAAGACACAACCCAGGACACAGCCAGCCCACAGGGAAGCCCTGGTTCAGATTCAGATCCCCCAGGAGCATTTGGGAGTAACACCCTGCCTCACCCCCTTCAACTCTGGTGGTTAAGCATTCCCTCCCCACCCCACTGCAAAATTTTCAATTTCCCTCTTGGTTTGTTTATTTGTTGGGTAGACCTGTCTGAGTCTACAAGAATTTTTGCTCTGCCTCCAAACTGGGAACAGAAACATCAATGTACTTTTGCATGGAAACAAACTAAGCCTGAAACAGGACACAAGAAATACAACAGCAGGCATCAATGTGGAAAGGCTGAGAGCATAAGAGTAAAGGAAAATGAGCACAAACTAGTTCATTTCAGTATTAGGAGAAGAAATAAGAAAACTGAATTATGCATACATAACCTCTTGGTATAAATTTTTCTGACATTTGAAAATAGGACATAATTCTAATGAAAAGGAATACAATGAAGCAAAATGTGGGTATTTTTAAGCTGGGTGATAGTATGTGGAGTTTATTACCATTCTCAGTACTTCTGGGTATGTTTGGAAATGCCAAAAACAAACAATGAAAGAAAAAACCTAAAAGATGGGACATGATAAAAGCATAAAATGGAATACCATGCAGCCTTTAAGAATGAACTTGGGGCGCCTGGGTGGCTCAGTCGGTTAACTGTCCAACTCTTGGTTTTGGTCAAGTCATGAACTCATGGTTTATGAGTTTGAACCCCACATTGGGCTCTGTACTCACAGCGTGGAGCCTCCTTGGTATTCTTTCTCTCCCTCCCTCTCTCTCTCTCTCTCTGCCCCTCCTGCAATCTCTCTCTTTCTCAAAATAAATAAATAAACTTAAAAGAATACACTCAATCCATGACTGCTAATATGTGGAGACCATTATTTTTAAGTGAAAAAGCAAAGGTAGAACCTTCTATATAGTATGATTACACTTTAAGAGGGGGCGAGGGGAGGGAGGGAGAGGTGTGTAGGATTGTGTGTTTCTGTGTGAACATTAAAGGAGAAAAAGTTGGAGGACAGATTCTACCAGACTTCAAGACTGACTATGGAGTAAGACAGTGTGGTATTAATGAAAGAAGAAACAAACAGGTCAACAGAACAGACTAGAGAGCCCAGAAATAGATCCATGGATATATAGGCAACTGATCTTTGACAAAGGAACAAAGGCAATACAATGGATCGAAGATAATCTCTTTGGTCTCTCAAGTGGTGCTGGAAAAACTGGGCATCCATATGCAAAATAAATAAATGACAACCTAGACAGAAACCTTATATCCTTCACAAAAATTTAACTCAAGGGGCGCCTGGGTGGCTCAGTCGGTTAAGCGTCTGACTTCGGCTCAGGTCATGATCTCATGGTTTGTGGGTTTGAGCCCCACGTTGGGCTCTGTACTGACTGCCAGCTCAGAGCCTGGAGCCTGTTTCAGATTCTGTATCTCACTCTCTCTCTGACCCTCCCCTGCACACGCTGTCTGTCTTTCTCTCTCTCTGTCTCAGAAATAAATTTAAAAAATTTTTAAAAATTAACTCAAAATCTATCCTTGGGGCACCTGGCTGGCTCATTCAGAAGGACATGGTACTCTTAATCTCAGGGTCATAAATCCAAGCTCCATGGGTGTAGAGATTACTTAAATAAATAAAACTTATTTTTTTTTTATCACTGACCTATGTATAAAACACAAAACTATAAAACTATAAATAAAAGAGGAGGAAAACTAGATGACCTTGGGTATGGTGGTGACTTTTTAGATATGACCCCAAAGGTATAATCCATGAAAGATAATGTATAAGCCAGAGTTCATTAAAATTAAAAACTTCTGCTCTGTGAAAGACAATGTCAAGAGAATGAGAAAACAAGTCATAGATGGGAGAAAATATTTGCAAAAGACACAACTTTTAAAGGACTGTTACCCAAAACACACCAAAAAAGCTTAAAACTCAATAATAAGCAAACAATCTGATTTAAAAAGATCATTACTGGGGCGCCGGGGTGGCTCAGTCTTGGTTAAGCGTCCGACTTCAGCTCAGGTCACGATCTCTCCATCCATGAGTTCAACCCCTGCATCATGCTCTGTGCTGACAGGTCAGAACCTGAAGCCTGCTTCTGATTCTGTGTCTCCTTCTCTTTCTCTCCCTCCCCCACTAGCATTCTCTCTCTCTCTCTCTCAAAAGTAAGTATTAAAAAAAACAAAAAAATAAAAAACAGACCATTATTTGTTCTCTGGGCTGAAGAACTTAGGAGACACCTCACCAAAGATGATACATAGATGGCAAATAAACACATTAATACATAATTTGCATAATATGTCATAAGAGAAGTAAAAATTAAAAAGATGCCACTATTAGAATGGCCAAATTCTGGAACACTTACAACATCAAATGCTGCTGAGGATATAAAGCAACAAATTCTTATTCACTGCTGGTGGGAATGCAAAAACAGTACAACTACTTTTGAAGACAGTTTGACGGTTTCTTATAAAACCAAACATACTTTTACCATCTGATCCAGTACTCATAGTCTTGCTACCTACCCATAGGAGTTGAAAACTCTGTCCATACAAAAACCTGCACAGGGATGTTTACAGCAGATTTATTCACTATTGCCAAAACTTGGGAGCAAACAAAATGCCGTTCAGTAGGTTCATGGATACATAAACTGAAGCACATCTACTAGACAATGGAATGTTATTCAACACTAAAAAAAAAAGAACTATCAGGTCCTGAAAAGACCCAAAAAAAACCTTAAGTGAACATCACTAAGTGAAAATAAGCCATTCTGAAGGCTACATACTATATGATGACAACTATATGACATTCTGGAAAAGGTATAATTTGGAAACCGGGAAAAGATCAGTGGTTGCTAGGAGTTGGAGGTAAGGAAGGGAATCAAAGGGTGGAATGCAAAGGGTTTTTAGAGCAGTAAAAACACTGTATCATATAATGATGGAACGTGTCAGTAGATATTTATCTAGACCCATAGACTGTACAGCACCAAGAGTAAAGTCTGATGTGAACTTTAGGTAATTATAATGCATCAATGTACATTCGGCAACATAACAAAGGTACCACTCTGGTGAGTGATGTTGGTAATGGGAGAGGCCACGTGTGTGTGGGGGCAGGGGATATGTGGGAAATGTCTGTGCCTTCCTCTCCATTTTGCTGTGAATTTAAAAGTGCTCTAAAAATTGTCTTTATAGAGAAAAAGGAGGAGAAGGAGGGAAAGGAGGAGGGGGAGGTTCAGGAGAGGGAAGTGAATTACTGACTCTACTTGACTCTGGGCCTAGCACTTGTCAATGCACAGACCATGTTCTTTGTCAAAGAGAGGGAGAAATTGGACTCACAAGTGAGAAGAGCACAGTTCCAAGTCCAGCATACAATAGATGCAACCACTGCAAAGAGAAAAAACAATTGTGTATTAAGAACAAGATTTGGAATAATGAAACGGTTCACTTGGTTTACTGCTGCTGATCAGATAGGGACCCAGTATTAAGGAAAGTCACATCTGTGGGGAATTTCATCTTTTTGAACATAGTGGTCAACATCATCTACTCAGTTCCATTCAGCAAACACATGACAACTACCCTTGCCAAATCAGTTTTGTTAGGTAAGTGCTAAACATCTCATGCATGGTAGGGCAAGTAGAACTTACCAGATATGTTTCACTTTATGTACCATTGTATAGCCCTTCTAGGGCATCTGCCCCTACACTCAGCTCTTAGAACGGGTAGAGCTGGGAAGACAGTGACCCTCACATACCCTAGCTAGGGCTGACTGACAAGAGGTGGAAGACATCCACTCCAACAGCAGGACTCTCTTGATTGACCAGAAAGTAAGATCAAACAGATGCACCAAGCCAGTCAGAAATGAATTCCCAGAGGCTGTTGCATTGTCAGCTACTGCTGGAGCTATTACTATATAAATGGAGGTGGCCAATCAACTCAGCCCAAGAGAGGAAGGCGGGATTTCCATTTCTGTGAATCCTGCTGCTTCTTCCCACCTGGGATTTCCATGAGTTTCCCTGGGTCTTTGCCTGAAGCTAGTCTGTGCAGTTCCCATCCCTTGCAACCAAAACAGCCCTTATCAGAACAGGGACTGATCTAAATGCCAAAGGAGTTGGCTTTGTAGAGGGAGAGGATAAAGAAATGGTATATAGCATTTGAGAAAAATAATGCCATTCACTCTTCAGGACAAGAAAGCTTATCCTAGGGGCGCCTGGGTGGTTCAGTCGGTTGAGTGTCTGACTTCAGCTCAGGTCATGATCTCACAGTTCATGAGTTTGAGCCCCACATCGAACTCTACTGCAGCACAGAGCTCGCTTCGGATCCTCTGTCTCCCTCTCTTTCTGTCACTTCCCCACTTATGCTCTCCCTCTCAAAAAAAAACAGAGAGAAAGAAAGGACAGAAAGATTGAAGGAAAGGAAAGGAAAGGAAAGGAAAGGAAAGGAAAGGAAAGGAAAGGAAAGGAAAGGAAAGGAAAGGAAGAAAGAAAGAAAGAAAAGAAAGAAAGAGAAAGAAAGAAAGAAAGAAAGAAAGAAAGAAGGAAGGAAGGAAGGAAGGAAGGAAGGAAGGAAGGAAGGAAGGAAGGAAGGAAGGAAGGAAGGAAGGAAAGCTCATCCTAGATGAATAGAGCATTCTGCTAACCAGGGAAGATCCTTGGTAAAGAACATAAATCAGGAGTCAGTGACACAGTGTGGGAGAGACAGTATTTCTAGACCGAGCTAATAGTGAGAAAATACCTGATTCCTGGAGTCTGAAGAATTCAAAACTGCCAAAGTCAAACAAGTCTTCCCTTCCATTTAAACGTGGGTAAGATTATATATCATAAATATTGGTGAAAGGAAGTTTACAGTAGGAGCTAAGTTTCATCTATCTAGTAGGAAACACTGTTTCTTAACTGCACCTAAATGGTACTGTAAAGACCTATGGATCCAACCTAATAAATATTTGTATTATTTCTACCACTATCTGGGCTACCAGCCATAATAATAAATGGAGAGCTATGTGGTTTTTTAAGGCACAACTTGGTTATATCTTTCAGTTTATCTCTAAAATATAGATGCTAAAAAAATAAAACAAATAAAAATAAAATAAAATCTCCCTAACCATAGTCAATATGGTCATTCATAAAGCTAAATCAATTCAGGCTTAACTCCTAGTTATATGTCTGAAGATCACTTAACAAGTCCACTTATTGCCAAAGAAGCTCTTGGATTCAATGATTGGGCCAAGTTGGCCTTAGGGCTTTAGTCAAAAGGTCACAGGCTCCAGGCCAATCCTCAGTGGAGCTGGCTGCTCTTATGGTCTCCACACAGAGGCCAATGAGAAGCCAGGCCCACACCCACTCCAGCCTCTGTCCACAGATGGTGCACCAGGCAGCGCATGGCACCAGTGTCCCACAGATCTGGCTTCCATCCCACGCCTACAACTTACTCCCTGTGTAGACTTGGATGAATTATTTAATTTCTCGGAGACTGTGTTCTTAGCTATACAATAGAGAACACGTGTACTTTTCAGAAAGGCCATGAGAATTAAATGTAGTGCCTATGAGAAAACCACAGGCTTATGCCGGATATCTGGTAAGAAGTCAATGAATATAGAAAAAGAAGAAAGGAAGGAAGGAAAGTAAGCAAGCTGGAATTACTCTAGGCGGCCATCGGGAAAGTCTGAAAAGCCCATCACTCCACTTTTATTACTTCAAACAAGCAGCACCCAGGTATAGGAGGAGTCTGATGCCCAGTGGGTGGGTTCACCCCCAAACCCTCGGAAAGACAGCTGTAGAGAGATGGAGCTCTCTCTTCATGCCCCACACTTCCAGTCCACAACACCCCAACCACACCACGCTGGGTGGCCGCAAGGACAGGAGGTGCCCGGCCGCTGTGCAGTGAGCTGCTGGGCCACACCTGCCACTTCTTAGTCACTGGAAAGCAGCAAAGCCCTTCCTGGGAGACACAGGACTACAGTCAACTTTAGCTCAAGGACCCCGCCCCTCCCCCCCCCAGACGGCTTTGCTGAACCTTCCTCGATTCCATGTCTAGAATATTCCCACCACCTACCTTCCCTCCCCTTCACTTGGTAGCAGATCTGCTACTGCAATGGGACACATCTTCGGCCCTCGGCGGCTCCCCAGCCCCTTTCCTCTTGGTAGACACTTCTCCCATTCAAGTCCTCACCCAGTTCACCCAGCTTGGTGTCTGCTTCGCAGAGGGTCTAGGCCAACACAATCAGCATTTTGCCCTATGTTTCTAACAATTCTGAGGTTCCCAAACGGAATCCCACTCACATATGCGTGTATGAAGAGTAAGAGAGTTCCATAGATAATCAGTATGAAGAGTAAAACGAACAGCATCCCATTTAGCATGGTGAAATCCCACTGAGGAAACAGAACACAAAAACAGCTCAGTTATCATCTGGAAGGAATTTCAGGAGGTTTAGAGATGCATTTTATCCCCAATAGACAGAAATTGGCCCATTTGGTAATAATTTACCCTGGACAGTTCTGAGAACCATGGGCATCCATTTGCCCCCATCGCTGAAAAACACTACATTAAAAAGTGTGGCGTTGACTGGAATCTGTCTCAGGAGGGAAGAGAGGGTAGGAGTATGGAGAAAATAACAAGAGCCATGGACACATGAGGGTTCATTATACTATTCTGTTTGTATTTATATAACATTTCCCCTAATAAAGGTACATTGAATAGATTGTAAATTTGTACGTAAAGTATGGTCGTATTTCTAAAATCGGGTGCATAGAATACAGCAATGGAACTGGGTTTTCCATGTTTGTATGCATATATTTTAATTTAAAAATATATATGTTAAGCTTTCAGAAATTATTGCTAATGATCATTTTGTAATTTTGAAACTTATTAATATGCTTTTTTGGTTTTGCCTTTATAAATCAGGGATGAAAACAGCCTGGGAAGCTGAGGAATTTTTTTTTAAAGAAAGGGGAATATTCATCTTCTGACTTGAATAGAATGATATTATGCAGCCAAAGAAGACCCTTGAATCCATGATACTTTCTTGTAAGACCATTTTCCTAATTCCTTTATATCTCCCCTCACTCCCTAACCCTTGCACACCAAGAGACTAATTTGAAGTACTAGATCTCCACATGTGGTTCTCAAATCAGCACCATGTGGGAAATGCAAATTATTGGGCTGCACCCCACACTTTTTGAAGCAGTAACTCCAGGGTATCTAGAATCGGTGTTCTAACAAACCTTCCAGAGGATTCTGACGACTGTTTAAAACATGTTTGTCTAGAGGGGCACCTGGGGAACTCAATTAGTTAAGTGTCCAACTTCGGCTCAGGTCATGATCTCACAGTTCATGGGTTTGAGCCCCCTGTCGGGCTCTGTGCTGACACCTCAGAGCCTGGAGCCTGCTCGGTATTCTATGCCTTCCTCTTGCTCTGCCCCTCCCCTGCTCGCACTTTCTATCAAAAATAAATGCTAAAAAAATGTTTAAATATGTGTCTAGAGCTGTGCATTCCATACTTGGGGCCAGGTGAACATTTAAAGCGTGGCTAGTCTAAAGTGAGGTGCGTTCTAAGTATAATAAAATACACACTGGATTTGAATTTTAGTTCAAAAAAGAATGTAAAATGTCTCAATATTTTGTTATGTTGATTCCTGAAATGTTAATACCTTGCATACAGTGGGTTAAATAAAACATATGATTAAAATTAACTTCACCTGTCCCCCCCCCCCTTTTTTTTTTTTTTTTTTACCATGGTTACTAGGAAAGTCAGAAGCCAGAAGGCAAGGAGCTATAGAGGTGAGGCCCACAGGACAGCAGTGAGCAGGGAGGAGGAGAGAGAAAAGAAGGAGTCAGGAGGGGCAGAAGGAACACATCTACACACTCCCTTGGGACAGGAGTCTGTTTCGGTGATACATACTTTTGTTTGAAGAGCAAATAAAGTGAGCGATAACGTCACCAGAGCAGTTGCTGCTGTTGCCCACAACACTTCCTCTGCATTATAGAAACTAAAACCAGAGACTGTGATTACTGTTCACATACATACAAAGAAAAGCACGTGCGAGAAAGGAAATGTGTATCAAAGACTTACACTGAAACGGCTCCCAGCAGCAGACCTTGAAGCATCGTCTAAAAACAAAATTCACAGTCACTCAGAACCCTGGTCCCGGAGGCCCAGAATCCAGAGGAGATGATTTAAGGCATGTGTGTGTTGGTGGGGTCTAGGGAGCAAGTGGGAATATGCACAACCCCAGTGCCCAGAGCTATGGGAAGGTTAATTATGGGACAGAAATAGAACTGAATATTTACCTAACATTCCCCCCAAACCTGCCAAGATTCTTTTATTAAGTAAAAATTCCTTAGAATAAAGGAGGTAACGTTCAGCATATTTAGTGCATTAAATATGCGCTAGGAATATGGAAACCGTAATAAAAGGTTTACCTGTAAGACCAGATCAAATGGGGCCACCCACACAGCTACATCTTAACAATTTATCAAAGCAGGACCTGCTATTTCTAGCTTCGCCAACAGTTTCAAGAGCTGACCTTTCCTACAGGACTTGGGTAAGGGTTGAAAACTTCAACCCTCAGATGAGGGAGGAGGATTGAGACCTTTTCGGGACTAGGGATGGGGCTCCAGGACAGGTTTCTACAGAGGGTGGGGCTGCACCTCTGGGTGCCAATCCAGGACTGGGAAGAGGGCTGCACTGAGAGTGCGTCAGGCCGGGGGTTCCCAGGGGCTGCAGAGCCGTGTGGGAGAGAGGCAGGCGCTGAGAGCTGGCACTGGTCAAGCCAGAGGAGGAGACCAAAAAAAGGCGAGGTTGTAGCTGGGTGCACAATCAGGCTTCACGACAGCAGGTGGGGGGTGAGACAATAGTGAACAGTGGCTGAAGGACCTGAGGACATCCCAGCTGGTAGGGCGCTCCACCAGAGGCAAATCCGGACTCAGCTGACCCTGTGGTCCACGGCAAGAGCGAGGAAAGAACCCTCTGGTCTCCAGGAGTACAAATGAAGATGCATTTTAACCGTGATGCGAAGACTGCTGGAGTGGCTTTCAACTTCAGCCGGCCAACGTCATACAGGATCGGAGATGAGAAGAACTAGAATCCCAAGAGTCCTGGGTCGCTCTCTGCATTTCCCAGACCCAGTGAGTAGTTGCCTGATTCTCTTCTTTGTCAAATCTACCAAAGCTGTCTTCATTTCCATCATAGGTTAAAACAGTGTATCTGTTCCATGTACCCAATTGTTTTTAAAAAATTTTTTTAAATTTTTAAATGTTTATTTTTGCGAGAGAGAGACAGAGCACAGGTGGGGTAGGGTCAGAGAGAGAGGGAGACACAGAATCTGAAACAGGCTCCAGGCTCTGCACTAGCCGTCAGCACAGAGCCCGACGAAGGGCTCAAACCCACGAACCGTAAGATCATGACCTGAGCTACAGTCGGACGCTTAACTGACTGAGCCACCCAGGTGCCCCTGTTTTTAAAATTTTTAATGTTTATTTTTGATAGAGCACGAGTAAGGGAGGGGAAGAGAGAGACGGAGACTGAGCTGTCAGTATAGAGCCTGACATGGGGACTGAACTCAAGGATCATGAGATCATGACCTGAGCCGAATTCAGAAGCTTATCTGACTGAGCCACCCAGGTGTCCCTACACATTTTTTTTTTTAAGTTTATTTTGAGGGGGGAGAGGGGCAGAGAAAGAGGGAGAGAGAGAATCCCAAGCAGGCTCTGTGCTATCAGTGCAGAGCCCAATATGGGACTCGAACCCATGAACCATGAGATCATGACCGGAGCTGAAGTCAAGAGATCGAGGCCTAACTGAATGAGCCACCTAGGCGCCCCCACATATTTTAATAATGTGCTTGCTTCTAAGCTTCCTCTTAAGATTGTCATCTTCTACTTGCTCAATTGCTTCATAATTTTCCATCTTTAGCAGCACATAAGTGTGTGCATGTACGTGAGACAGAAAGAGAGGATGGTGGGAGGAAAATGGGGCTCAGAGGGAGAATGATTTAACGCTAGAAACTACACTTAAGCTGTTTTCCAAAGAGGAGAACAAGAGGCCTTAGAAGTCAAACCTGCCTGGTGGCTTCAAGAACACAGAACACAGGCTCAAAAGGCTTAAATTCTAAGGGACAAAAGCTGTCTTCCGTGTGTGTGCTATTGTTTTCCCCTCAACTCCTCCTCGGAGATGGTTTCTCCATGTGCTTCCTAATAGTCAAAACATAAAGACTACAAAATGCAAGTAATTCTTTGCCCCTGTATAGTATTTCTTCCCTTAAGCTGTTCTCTGCTTTGGGATAAACAATAAAACCTCAGAGATGAGAGCTTCCTTTGAGACCAATAACTTTGACCTCTTCGTGTGATAAACATTAAACCCATGGAAAATTTTAAAGTAAAGATATTCAAATATTTTTGAAAAAGTACCTCCTCTTCCCATCCGATCACCTCTGCTCTAGGACAAGGCTCTAGTATAGTTATCTTTCTATGTCTGACTTTTAACCTCTATTTCTTCCTGAGTGTGCTCTGTCCAGGAACTAGGAAACCCCACCTGCTCCCCAAGTAATGAGCAGGGTATCTGCACCAGGTAAGAAAGGCCTTTCAATGCTCTGGTGGCCAAGGAAATGCCCAAATGTGGGCATCAGAGACATAGTCTCTGGAGGAAGATGTTCTTCCCAACATATAAATCACACTGGACACTGTGCTATCTGCATGTTGAGAATCTCACCACTGGCCACATGTCCTTACACTCTGACTACCAGAAGGCACAGACCCAAATCTAGGCTCATCACAGGCAAGTGCATAGCACCATGCATTTAAAAATTTTTTAATTATAGTTGACATACAGTATTGGGTTAGTTTCAGGTATACAACATGATTTAACAATTATATATGTTGCAAAATGATTACTACAATAAATACAATATCATTTATCATACAGTTGTTGCAATATTATTGACTATATTCCTGTATTGTACTTTTCATCCCTCTAACTCATAAGTGGAAGTTTATAACTCTTAAAATCCTTCATCTGTTTTGCCTTTCCACCCCCTCCCCATTCACAACCACCAGCTTTTTCCTCTGTATTTATGAATCTGTTTGTTTTGCTGGTTTATTCATTTTTTTTTTGTTTTGGGTTCCACATATATGTGAAATCATATGATATTTGTCTTTCTCTGAGTTATTTCACTTTGCATTTACCCTCAAGGTCCATCCATCTTGTCAGAGATGGCAAGATTTCATTCTTTCTGTGGTTGAGTAATATTCCATTGTATGTATGTCCACATCTTCTGTATTCATCTATCAGTGAACTCTTAAGCTGCTTCCATATCTTGGCTATTTTGTTGTTGTTGCTGCAGTTCTTATTTTTGAGGGAGAGGGTAAGAGCACACTCAAGGTGGAAAGAAGGGCAAAGGGAGACAGAATGTCACGAAGGCTCCATGCTCAGTGCGGAGCCCAATGCAGGGCTTGATCCAACAACACTGGGCTCATTACCTGAGCCAAAATCAACAGTCAGACACACTCAACTGACAGAGCCACCCATATGTTGGCTATTGTAAATAATGCTGCAATAAACATAGGGTACATTCATCTTTTTAAATTAGTGTTTTAATTCCTTGAGTAAATACTCAGAAGTGGAATTACTGGACAGTATGCTATTTGTTTTTTTTTTAATTTTTGGAGAAACTCCATACTGTTTTCTACAGTGACTGTACCCATTTATATTCCCATCAACAGGCCAAGAGGACTCCCTTTTTGCCATATCCTCACCAACACTTGTCTTTTTGATACTAGCCATTCTGACTTGTGTGAGGTGACATTTCATTGCATTTCCATAATGACTAGTGACGTTAAGGATCTATTCATCTGTTGGCCATCCATAGGTCTCCTCTGGAAAAATGTCTATTCAGATCCTCTATGCATTTTTAATTAGATTTTTCTGATATTCATTTGTATGAGTATCTATATAGCTATATAGGTCTATGATTTTAATTCCTTATCAGGTATATCACTTGCAAATATCTTCTCCCATTCAGTAGGTTACCTTTTTGTTTTGTTGATGATGGTTTCCTCCACTGTGCAGGAGTTTTAAATTTGATGTATTCCTAGTTGTTTATTTTTGTTTTTGTTTCCCTTACCTGAGAAGACTGATCCAAAAAATATTGCTAAGGCCGATGTTCAAGAGTTTACTGCTTATGTTTTATTTTAGGAGTTTTATACTTTCAGGTCTTATGTTTAGGTATTTAATCCATTTTGATTTTATTTTTGTTTATACTGTAAGAAAGTAGTCCAGTTTCATTCTTTTTTGCATGTGGCTGTCCAGTTTTCCCAACACCATTTGCTTAAGAGACTGTCTTTTGCCCATTGTATATTTTTGTCTCCTTTATAGATTAACTGACCATAACTGACCATATAACTGTGAGTTTATTTCTGGGCTCTCTATTCTATTCCATTGAACTATATGTCTTTTTGAGCCACTGCCATATGGTTTTGATTCCTATAGCTTTGTAGTATACCTTGATATCTGGAATTATGATACCTCCAGTTTTGTTCTTCTTTCTCAAGATTGCTTTGGCTGTTCAGGGTGGATAGGATTATGCATTTTGTACACTAATCTAACCACTGAATTTATTTTCCTACCCTTACTTTTACTTTTATCAGATTTCCCCAGCACTTTATTTTACCCTCTTATATTGTGGGTGTTTTTATAAGCTACCTCAAATCTTCACCAGATGAAGAATAAACTAATTGTTACATAAATCTTCACAATGGAAGGGTGCTGAGTTCTTGGAATCCTCGTGGCCAGCACAGAAAGGAACTGGATGCAAGAAAACGTGGCTGGCCACGTTTTCTGTGGGCCAGAGAGAGCAGCACTGATCCACAGAGAAAGGACCTATGTGTAAGACCTTGTGAGTGGAAGCCCCACAGGAGGTGCTGGTGAACCAGAAACCAGACCACGCTGAAATGAGGAGAGCCTAGGACCAGAAGCCCCAGCCTCACCCCCAACTCTCTGGAAAAGCCAGAGGTGCAAGGTGGGGAGATAGGGGAACCTGCGCTGAGCTGGGTTTCTGCACCCATGAGACTTGAAACAGAAATAAGAGAACTCTTACAAAAATAAAGTATACTTCAAACACACGAGTTTGTGAACTAAATGTGGAACCTACTCTCCATAACAGAATGTGTTCGTTGTGACCAGCAGAGGGCCAGTAACAGTCAAGTTAACTGTTCCTCAAATGGAGCCTGGACTCTGAGCAGGTCCCCAACATGGCCTCCCAGAGGCAAGGTCGCCAGCAACAAGGAGTTGCTCAGCATTCCCAGATTCTCTAGCTTTAGTTAAAGGGCATGGACACTATCTCATAAACAAGTTTATGACTTCATTACAGCTAGGATCCAGCCAAGAGGACATCTCACAAATAATTTCTATCTCTATTATTCCACAGGAAGATTTTCCATGATAGAAGCAGAATTAGTAATGTGACAAAAATATATTTCACAAGTGAGTTAACAATGCATGCTAACAAAGTTTACTTACAAATAGTCCCAGGAGAATGTAATTCACAGGCACCTGACGGCGAAGATTCCCACAGCAAGCAAGTACAATAAGTACAACAAAAAATGCTGGGCTAAGGGTAATTGAGAGCCAAGTGTTATTTGCTTTCAGTGATTTTATCATGTAAGTAGATGAACAGAGACAGAAATAGGTTATTATATGTTACTCTCTGATAATAACTGTTATAGAGTAAACAAAAATGCATGCTAATTATTACCTTTACTTTTTTTTTAGCTTTTAAAACTTTCTCACTGTCATCCATAGACTTGTTAATATCTTATTTTGAAATAATTACAGATTCACAAGAAGTTACAAAGAGACAGAAGTCCCATGCATCCTTAGTTTCCCTCAGTGGTTACATCTTACATAACTACAATATAATACCAAAGCCAGTAATTTGACATTCGTACAAGGTGTATATAATGCTATGTCATGTAATTTGGACACAAATCTAGGTGTAGATAGGTGTAACCAGCACCACAATCAAGATTTGAAACCATCCCATCATTAAAACCTCAAAAAGATCTCCCTCATGCCATCTATTTCTGGCGCTCGTGCGCGCGCGCGCACACACACACACACACACACACACACACTCTCTAGCTCCTGGTAACCGCTAATTTGCTTGTTTTCTAACTCTATAATTTTATCATTTCAATAATGTTATACCTTCAACTAATTTTTAATAAAGAACCTCAGTCAATATCTAGTAGAAAAACCATGTTTTATTAAATCCAAGAATACTTACAAGATTGCATAGGTGAACCAGGCATTCATAAGCACCCAAGCTCTTAAACCCTTCCTGTTAAAAAAATTTTTTTAATATAGTTTTAAACAACAAATTGTTTATTTTTCTAACTAATGTAATATTTAAGTATGAGTAAAATAATCTCATAAGAAAGGGATAAACCCTTAATCACTGGCAATGACAAATGAGCAGTGAAATAGTGAAACATATAAACTTACCTTGCTTCTTAAAATAGATTTATAAAAAGATAGTCGTAATAAATTATAAGTCAAATTTGAATGAATGCAAACATCCTGGTGACATTTTTATTTTAAAAAAAAAACTGAGATTGCTATGTGGACAAAGCAAAAAAAAAATAATTTCTCATATATTTGTTTTGTAAATAGAGGTTTTCACAGGATAGGTTTAAACAGTATTGGATCATAGTCTCTGAAATCATTTCTGCCTTTAACAGCATTCCAAGTCTCCAAGTCCTCCATAATCTTACCTTTTTTCCTTTATCCATTTTCATCTTTGGAAATAGCTCAGGGAAATTAGAAAATGAAATAGTGCCCCCAAAAAGAATAAGACAAAAAGATCTTGGCTTAGGAAGTTGAAGTAAAACTGTGATAATCTACCAACACCTTGGTCTAAGAGTTGCCTCAAACAACAAAGCTATAGAAATAGTATATCCTATGTTTAAGAAAAAAGAGATCATTTTTAATGAACAAAATTAAGTTGAATTGGTTCAATAAGAATTAATGTGGACAACTTAATATTTCATTTACATGAGTAACAAAGACTTACCAGAAAATAAACACGCTGATAATCGCCCCAGTGAGCACCAATTGAGCTGACAGGATCAGGAACACTTTTATAATGAAAGCTGAAGAAACAGAAACATTATGTTTGTGATACAATATTCAAAAGTAAAAATAGAAGAGAGAGGAGCCAAAATGGTAGAATAGCATGGAAATTTTTTTGTCTCGCGTCCATGAAATACAGCCAGATCAACACTAAATTATCCTGCACACCTAGAAAAGTGATTTGAGGATTAACACAACATCTGCAAAACCTGAACCACAAATTCTCAGTAGGTACATGGCGTGGAGAGGTAAACTGAGGGAGAGAGAGAGAGAAGCTGCAGAGGGCAGGGAGCTGTTTTTGCTTGAGGAGAGAAGACAGAGATGAGGGGAGTGTATAGGAAAAGCATATCCCCCCTGCCACCCCAAAAGCAGCTGGAGAGAAAGTGGAAAAGTAGAAAAGGCCACAGGGACTGAACTAAAAAGGGAGAAAGGAGAGAGTTTAAACTCCATTAAGACTCTATAAATAAGGGGAGCACAGAGTTTGAAACTTGGCAGCTCAACACATGGCAGCACTCTGGTGGGAAGGGTGAATTCCAAGGAGCAGAGTGGGTCTGGGGGTTCGCAGGCCACATAGAGAACAGTTCCCCCGTGGGGAGAATATTTGGTAGAGGCTGTGGACCCCTACACAGGCAAAGGCCCCAGCGGACTCCAGAGAACAACCACGTTCACTGGTGCTGGAACAAGGGGTTAAGGGTAAAGCCTGGTGCCTGATGTGTGTTGTGATTTTCCATAATCCCTGAAACACTGCTGCTACACAATCATGTTAACTTTTTCTGGGGTGGGCTGGCACCTAGCCACAGTCTCTGGGCATCGGCAGAAGCAAGGTCCCGCAAACATTCTTGGGTGTGGCCAGCACCCAGCTATTGCTCGGTGAGACCCGCCTGAAGAAGATCTGAGCAGGTCAAAGCCACAGTCCCTCAGAGTAAGGGGTCAGGAAAAATAGCTGCATCTGAAATAAAACTCAGGAAGGAGGTGACGTCTGGCAACCTGACGGCTTGATCACAAACAGTGTGAAAGCAGGGAGTGGACAGAAGCCAGAGACAAAGGACGGGTGCACGATTGCTTATCAGGAAGAAAAGAATTCCGATACTAGAGATGGGATGGCTGAGTGATGCCATTTTCACCCCTCCAGCGCATGCACACACACACACACCAACAAGCGCCACAACAATCCAACCCAGTAAGCTAAGCAGCGCCACTTAGTGGAGAAGGAGCCGATACACTAAGCCCCGCCCCACTAGGCCAACCTCACTCCTTAGGAACACCACAAGTTTCTCTGCCTGCCTAGTTTATGTACTATAAAGTGCTTCATACTTTGACTTCTAGGGGAAAATGATGTAATTTCAATCGTATTTCAGTCTGTTCGCTGGTCCATCTATTCAATTTTCTTTCTTTTTCATCTTTCTTTTTTCTTGAATACAAAAATAGAAAAAATTTTTATTTTGAATTTTTATTAAAATATTTTTCTTTAATTTCCTCTACTATACTTTTTGGTTTTTTGTACATTTTTCAAATTCTATTTTACTTCCATCATTTCATTTTATTCTATTTCATTGTGTTCATTTTTTGAAATTTTCAAATGTTTTCCTCCCTCCAACCATTTTTCCTCTAATCTATCAAGCTCCTTTCAACAACCAGACCAAAGCACACTTGGATCTAACATCATTTGTTTAATTGTGTGTGTGTGTGTGTGTGTGTTTACTTTATTAATTTTAATTTTTTTTTACTTAATTCCTTTTCTTCCTTCAAATAGACAAAACGAAGGAATTCACCCCAAAAGAAAGAGTAGGGAGAAATGACAGCCAGGGACTTAATCAACACAGATACAAGCAAGATGTCTGAACCAGAATTTAGAATCACTATAATAAGAATACTAGCTGGGGTCGAAAATAGATTAGAAACCCTTTCTGTGGAGATAGAAGAAGTAAAAGCTAGTCAGGATAAAAGAAAAAATGCTAGAACTGAGCTACAATTTTGAATAGATGCCACGGCGGCAAGGATGGATATGGCAGGGCAGCAAATCAGTGATCTAGAGGACAAACTCATGGAGAATAGTGAAGCAGAAAAAAAGAGGGAGACTAAGGCAAAAGAGCACGATTTAAGAATTAGAAAAAATTCGGGGCGCCTGGGTGGCTTAGTCGGTTAAGCGTCCGACTTTCGCTTGGGTCATGATCTCGCGGTTCGTGGGTTCGAGCCCCGCGTCGGGCTCTGTGCTGACTGCCAGCTCAGAGCCTGGAGCCTGTTTCAGTCTGTGACTCCCTCTCTCTCTGACCCTCCCCTGCTCATGCTGTCTCTCTCTCTCCTAGAAATAAATAAAACATAAAAAAAAAAAAAAGAATTAGAAAAAATCAGTGTCTCATTAAAAAGGAGCAACATCAGAATCATAGGGTCCCAGAAGATGAAGAGAGAGAGAAAAACATAGAAGGATTATATGAGCAAATCATAGCAGAAAACTTTCCTAACCTGGGAAAGATATGGACATCAAAATCCAGGAAACACTGAGGACTCCCATTACATTCAATAAAACCCAACCATCAACAAAGCATATCATCGTCAAAATCACAAAATACTCAGGCAAGGAAAGAATCATGAAAACAACAAGGGAAAAAAAAGTCCTTAATGTACAAGGGAAGACAGATCAGTTCGCAGCAGACTTATCCACAGAAATTTGGCAGGCCAGAAAGGAGAGGCAGGATATATTCAGTGTGCTGAATCGGAAAAATATGCAGCCCAGAATTCTTTACCCAAAATAGAAGGAGAGACTAAAAGTTTCCCAGACAAACAAAAATTCAAGGAGTTCGTGACCACTAAACCAGCCCTGCAAGAAATTTTAAGGAGGATTCTCTGAGGGAAGAAAAGAAGGGGGGGCGGGCGGGGAACAAAAGCAACAAAGACTAGAAAGGACCAGGGATCACCACCAGAAACTCCAACTCTACAAGAAACATAATGGCAATAAACTCATATCTTTCAGTACTCACTCTACACGTCAGTGGACTAAAAGCTCCAATCAAAAGACACAGGGTAACAGAATGAATAAGAAAACAAGATCCATCTATATGCTGTTTACAAGAGACCTATTTTAGACCTAAAGACACCTTCAGATTGAAAGTAAGGGGATGGGGGCGCCTGGGTGGCTTAGTCGGTTAAGCATCTGACTTTCGCTTAGGTCATGATCTCACAGTTTGTGGGTTCGAGCCCCACATCGGGCTATGTGCTGACTGCCAGCTCAGGGCCTGGAGCCTGTTTCAAAGTCTGTGTCTCCCTCTCTCTCTGACCCTTCCCTGCTCATGCTGTCTCTCTCACCTAGAAATTAAAACATTTAAAAAAAAAAAAAAAGAAAGTAAGGGGATGGAGAACCATCTATCATGCTAATGGTTGACAAAAGAAAGCCAGAGTAGCCATACTTAGACAATATAGACTTTAGTATAAAGACTAACAAGAGATGAAGAAGGACATTATATTAAAATTAAGGGGTCTATCCACCAAGAAGACCTAACAATTGTAAACATTTATGCTCCAAACATGAAGCAAACAAATATATAAATCAATGATTCACAAACATAAAGAAATTCATTGATAATAATACCATAATATTAGGGGACTTCGACACTCCACTTACAACAATGGACAGATCATCTAAACAGAAAATCAATAAGCAAACAATAGCTTTGAATGAAACACTGGACCAGATGGACTTCAGAACATATATGAATACATATATTTAGAACATTTCATCCTAAAGCAGCAGAATATACATCTTTCTCCAGTGCACATGGAATGTTCTCCAGAATAGATCACATACTGGGACACAACTCAGCCCTTAACAAGTATAAAAATATCAAGATCATACCATGCATATTTTTAGATCACAACACCATGGAACTTGAAATCAGCCACAAGAAAAAATTTGAAAAGGTAACAAATACTTGGAGACTAAAGAACATCCTACTAAAGAATGAATGGACTAACCGAGAAGTTAAAGAGGAAATTAAAAAGTACATGGAAGCCATGTACTTTTGATAACATCACAGCCCAGAACCTCTGGGACACAGAAAAGGCAGTCATAAGAGGAAAGGACATAGCAATCCAGGCCTTCCTAAAGAAGGAAGAGAGGTCTCAGATACACAACTTAACCTTGCACCTTAAAGATCTGGAAAAAGAACAGCAAATAAAACTCAAAACCAGCAGACAACAGGAAATAATAAAGATCAGAGTAGAAATCAATGCTATCGAAACCAAAAAAAACCCAGTAGAACAGATCAATGAACCAGAAGCTGGTTCTTTGAAGAATTAACAATATTGATAAACCCCTATCCAGTTTGATCAAAAAGAAAAAGGAAAGGCCCCAAATAAATAAAATCAAGAATGAAAGAGGAGAGATCACAACCAACACAGCAGGAATAGTAAGAGAATATTATGAGCAATTATATGCCAATAAAATGGGCAATCTGGAAGAAATGGACAAATTCCTAGAAACATATAAACTACCAAAACTGAAACAGGAAGAAATAGAAAATTTGAACAGACCCATAACCAGTAAAGAAATCAAATTAGTAATCAAAAATCTCCCAAAAAACAAAAGACTTCAGGGTCTGATGGCTTTCCAGGGGAATTCTACCAAACATTTAAGGATGAGTTAACACCTATTCTCCTAAAGCTGTTCAAAAAAAAAAAAAAAAAAAAACACGGAAGAAAGAAAGAAAGAAAAAAGAAATGGAAGGAAAAGTTCCAAACTCTTTCTATGAAGCCAGCTTTACCCTAATTCGAAAACCAAAGTATCCCACTAAAAAGGAGAACTATAGACCAATTTCCCTGATGAACATGGATGCAAAAATCCTCAACAAGATATTAGCCAACTGGCTCCAACAATACATTAAAAAAATTATTCACCTGGGATGCAGTGGGCTTTATATTTGGGATGCAGGGCTGGTTCAATATCCACAAAACAAACAGTGTGATTCATCACATTAATAAAAGGACAAGAACCACATGATCCTCTCCACAGATACAGAGAAAACAT